ACAGTGTTGATCATAGAGGGAAGTTTTCATTACTGCTGTGCACTGCTTACACAGAGTCAAGGCCTTTTCAGCTTCTCACCCCACCCACGAGCAGGCTGGGGCTGCACAAGAAGCTGGGAGGGGACACAATTGAGCCCAACTGACCAAAGGGACATTCCAGACCCTAGGTTGTCATGCTCAGCAAGTAAAGCTGGGGAAGGAGGAGGATGTTCAGTGATGGGCTTTGTCTCCCCAGGTCACTGTTGTGTGTGGTGGAGCCTGGCTGTCCTGGAGACAGCTGCCCACCTACCTGGCAATGGGGAGAGGTGGGATGAATGCCTTGGTTTGCTTCACTTGCACACACAGCTCTTGCTTGACCTATTGAACTGCCTTTATACCAACCCACCAGTTTTCTCATTTTCACCCTTCTGATTCTCCCCCCATGGCACAGGGGGGTGAGTGAGCAGCTGTGTGGGGCTTAGCTGCCAGCTGGGGTCAGACCATGACAGACCTGTAGGCTCAGTTGCCTACCAGGGTTAAACCAGGCCATGGGCATTTGCAGAGTCATTCTTTATCAGAAATCACTGTTTACTACAGTTCAATTTCAAATTTGCTCCTGCTGTTTTAACATACTACTTCTGTTTATGCACGGCTGTCTCACCTCTTTGTCCCTGTCATTCCTAGTTTACACTTTAAGTAGTTATCTCCCCTGAGACAAACCCATTGCCTTCCCAGCTGACCATTTCTTTCTCTGAATCACCTCACTGTGTCTCACCTGCCCCTTCTACCACCTCCTGCTATCACTGCTATGCCATCTATCTGCTCTGTCTGGACTTGGAGCTACTTCTAATTTTAAATGCCCTTTTTTTTTAATTTTTAAATCATATGTAATTAATTTCTCTGTCCCTAGCTAGGATCACAGTTATAACTATTTAGCACTTGCCATTTGAACCTTCAGTGTCATGCTGTCCGTGGTGAGCTTTGGCCACCTCAGCAGGGAAACACAATTTTTTACACTGCTGTGCTCAGCAATCTGTTTCAGAAAAAAACCAAGGTGCCTTGCACGTTGTATGACTGTCTCCCGGACACTCCTTTTTTTTTTGGGGGGGGTGGGAAGGAACAAAATAAAACTTCATGTAATGTTAATGCATCTTTAGTTTCAAATAAGTCTATATTTGTAAACTCTACTAGAGCAACTCTTGTTCAATTACTATCACCATTACACTGGCTGGGTGGGAGATATTTGTAAATCCTTGCAACTTATTTTCTAAATAAGGAAACAATAAAAACGATTCAAAAGCTATCCAAAAGACATGCTGGCCCTTCCTTGGAAAAAAAAAAGAAACCAAACCAAACCACTGCTCTCCTCAGAACATCTCTTAGGACTTGTCCTCCACATAACTCTTTAGTCTTATACCAAGCAATACAGAGTTACGTAAAACTGCTGCTGTCTTTTCAAAGCCTATGTATTTCAGTCAGGATAAAGCTGAATCACAGATACCTGTAAAATTTTAAGTTGCAGAACTATGAATCAGTTACATATAAATAAAGTCTTTTCTATTGAGATATATTTTGAGAAAATGCAGGCAGGTAAAATACATCTGAATGCTAATTTGTGTGGTAATTAAAATGTCCCAGGTATTGAATAAATAAAACTCTGTGTTACAAAACTTCAAAGTAATACTGAATCCAAAACACAAAAATATCTTTTTTTCAATGTTCTGTTTTCTTCTTTTTTTTTTTTTTTTTTTTTTTTTTTTTTATAAAGAGGGGACAGATTAAATTACATGAAAGTGTCACAAGACTATCAATTATCTACTTTGCAAAAGAAAGTGAATGCAACAGTTACACGCCACCCTTTTCCCATAGTTTGAGAGGGGCAGTATGGCAAGTGTTACAAAGTGGGGAAATATTGTCACACACAAATGTTACCTTTCCAACGAGCTACAGAGTTGCTGAAAATGTGTTAAAACCTGATAAACTATTCAGTTGGGTTTGTACAGAGTTGTTTATTCTTGTTTGGAAATTCTTATGGCAAAAATATCTTTATCTTCTGGCAGAATGGAATTGGCTTCACACAGACAAGCAAATGTTTATCTAAACTTTTTTAAAAAGGTGAAATATCACTGAAGAGCTTTCTCTTCATTGCACAGCTTGTCCATTTGCTATTACTACCTCTGAAACACAGAGCAACCCATCTCACTCTGCTCTTGCGCCCATACTAAAGCATCAGCCTTTGAGCTTCTGTGAAGTGACTTGTGTATCTTACCTTCCGCTCCCCTGCCACCCTCCAAGCATGCTGCCCTGCCCAGCAGCTGCAGATCTGGCGCTCCCCAAAATTCCCCACCACACTGTCACACCAGCCCTGCTAGACTCATCCTGTCCTGAAGACATGGCACCCCCCTGTGCTGCAGTGTCCCTACTTTTCTGTATGCTAGTTATAAAAGGAAAAGGTCACACACATCAGGAGCCAGAAGGCATTAGCAGACTCTAAAAACCAGCACAGGACAATGCACATAAGAGGCACACTTGGGGAGCAGAGGCAAGCAGCAGCATCCTTGTGCTCCTGTCACTCTCCCTCCTGGCATTTCAGCATTGCCAAGGAAAGAATTCTCAGGTACCACCATCTTCCCTTTGTGTTTTTTTTCCAACTCCCTGTTCTTCTCCAGCAATGGCTGGATTTTTTATCTTCTGCATTCCCCTATGCTCATCAGAATCTTCCCTTTCTACCACTTTTTTCTCCCTCTTATATGACCACTGCTGGTATTAGCATTATACTAACTACCAACTAACACCTGGACACTACAATTCCAAAGGGTATCTGGCTGTCATCAACTGCTTTTTGGTTTTACAGGTACTTCCCAAGCCATGGGACGTCATTGACTGAAAGGAAGTGGATCTGTAACTCAAAAAGTACCCGACCAAGAGGTATGCAAAAGAATAATGCAATTAATTCAATTTAGGAGATCTGTCTACAGAGCTGTGATTTAACAAATCACTTCATTTGTGGCACACAGGAATTCAGATCTTTCAGTCCATACCAGTGTGTGTTCATCCTCACCACTTTTCTTTCCCTTACGTGCCTAAAGTAGTTTTTCAGAAACATGTGAATAAACATGTAAATGGTTTATTTCTCATTTCTTTTTTTTCCCCTTCTAATCAAAACATCAAGTAATTTTTGCTGTTACAAGTTACTTGCACATCTCTTGTGAAACCTGGCTCTCAGTCAGACTATCTCAACTCACATTAGATCTGTAGACAAGGCCTTATGTCCCACACTACTTTTGGCACAGAGCTGCAGCTTGTATTTTAGACGAGCTCCCACGTGTGTGATACCAACATGCTATCGCTCTGCTGATCTGCTGCATTCTGCTACTGAACACACAGCCCAAAAATAAACTGGCAGAACAAGACTGCTATTGTGGTGATCTGAACTGTTGTTGCTTACTCAATCCCAGGGACTCCTGATTTTGCTGTTTTCTATTTTTTTTTCTTTTCCTACAAAAACAGCACACTTCACTCAGACACATTACCTAACATTTCTCTATTCAGACCATATATTATTTTGCCACATTTTGTCTGTAGCCCTGGCTTGTTCATTATTTTCTACTCCTACTGCTATTTATCTAATATGCTGTTATTCGTTCCCTAGATTCTCATTTAAAATGCCAGATAAAGAAGACTGCTTCCTACTGCATGCTTCTTGTTAGCTAGGTAAAAAGAAAAAACACACATGTAGATCTGTCTGCTCTCAGTGTAACTTAGGAATTTGAGTTTTAAAGAGCTTACTACAATGACCTCAAACTTTGTATGAAGTACTTGAAAAGTTTTAAATCCCTAGGCTACACTGAGAGCAGACAGACATGCGAGGTTTATTGTGGTTGGTTTTGGTTTTTGTTTTTATTTTTTGGTATCTAGCCAGCAGTGTCCAGTTGGACAGAGATTTTCATGCCTTTGTCACAAGTTAGTACCCATGTTGCTACAGCTACTTCAGGCTGTAGGCAGTTTTAAAAAGCTAAAATAAGACAGCAGTTATCTTTTTATTAAATTGCTAGTAGTACTGCTATCAGTGAATACTACCAAGCCAATCAAGCAATATTTTGGCCTATACAGTCTGTATTTTTCCAGTCAGTAACGAGGCTGTCAGATTGGCTGCTGAGCAGTCAAAATACCCAACAGTTCCCTATTCCAAATCAAAGGAAGTGAAGACATTTTCAGCTTCCCACATAAAGACACTTTTAGGATAAGTTCATTTCTTGTTCTAAACACTCTACCTTAAGTAAACTCGAATGAGAGTAATCCTTTATTTTGCAACCACATGGTATTTCACATCACGTGTTAACATGTTACTCTTCTGTTCCCTAACTGCAGCTCTCCTGTTATTTGCTAGAAAGAGCAGAAAAAAGCAAGATATGAAATATCTGCTCTTAGAAGACCACTGGCACTGCTATCCTTGTATCCATGCATATCTTGGACTCTCTCCTGCTGAGACATTACGCTCACCCAAACATCACAAAGCTGCTTTGACAAATGGACTCTCTCATTCTGGAATAGCTCATCACTATACAGACGAGCTTCACATCACAAAGTTCTGGGCTAAGTTCTACTGCTCGAATCTAACAGTCATGCAAGACAGACATAAATCCAATGCCAAAATATTGCTGTACTTGGTGCTGGCACGTTGGTCATAGTAAGAACACGTCTTCAGTGGTGCAACAAGAGTGTTAGTTCCAAAGTGTGTGAACACTCTGAATGCTGCTGGAGAGTTCATGAAGACATGTGTTTTTCACCATAACATTACACAGACAGACATGCCCACACACACAAACAGCTTCCCACAAAGTGAAGACGTGACACACTAAGACGCACTCAGGCACAGGTCAACATTTTAAGACTGGCATCTGCAGCGCAGCACTGCTGTGGTACACAGCTTCAGATTTCTAATGGATTGATGAAGACTAGCAATGTTTGTGGGAAGACAGTAACACAGACAGTAGCATAGAAGAATGGAAGAAACCCACCTTAAGGAGTTCATAATGTTGAATGCCATTCACCCCGATGTCCGGATCGACGGCGGACGGGACAGAATAGCGAGAATTAATTGCTGTGTTCTCAGGGATAGAGATGTTAATAACTGTTGAGGGGAAGAGGGGGGCATTGTCATTTATATCCTCTATTAGGAATCTGATCTTGACGAGTCTGAAAACTTCATCGGGTAGGACAGCAACCTCCACCTCATAGAAGCAGCGATTCTCAGTGAAGATGCCCGAGCACAGCTTCTCCCTGTCTATGCGGTTGGCGGTGGTGAATATCTCCCCGGTGTTCTCCTCCACCCGCACCAGCGGCACGTCCCCGGTCTTGTACACCAGCTTGAACTGGAGCGGCGAGGAAAGCGGCACGTCTGGGTCCAGCGTCAGATTAAGATCCTTGAGCAAGTTGCCAATGAGGACATTTTCAGGCAGTTCTTCCCGCACGGTGTAATTCTTCTCCTGCGCGCCAGATTGAAATACAATACAGGCTAACAAGACTGCCAAGAGGTAGGTTCCAGACAGCAAGTCCATCTCCAGAATGACTAATGAGTATTTGTGTAGAACACCACGAGTAGCTGGGAAAAAAGAAAAGAGAAAAAGTCTTAAACATTTAGAGAACACCATGTTCTTAAAGTGATGGAGACATGAAATAAGCACCTATCCTATGTCAAATAACCTGAACTGTCTTAAATCCCTACTAGTAGTGATATGTCACTTAAACCTTCACAGAATATAAATTTCTTGCATTATTTTTTTTTTTAACTTAAAGCTGTTTAGTAAACACTGCAGTAAGAATCTTAAAACTGGATCAGAGTGAATGAACAAATACATACAAAAAGCCCTATTTCCAGTATGAGATTTTCCACTGCTCCATCAGAAAATATTCTCCTTTGAACCCTCTGCTTCATTGTCCTCATTTTTTGGTTTTGTTAACAAAGAAAACAGTAGGCACTGAATTTGCAAGCAACCATCTGCTGAGAGCCAGATCTTTACATACCTCTTGCTCAGACATGGGAAAGCAAGAACACTTGTCTTTATTTTCCCCCAAGTCTTGCACTCACAAAATCATATGATATTTGTTAGAAGCAGAGGAATCTGGCTGTTTTTAACACAGGAACTCAAAATAGAAAGAAAACATTAGGTAGATGGAATCTGGTGAACATCAGCAAAAAAGGGGTGGAACTAGTGCAGCAGTCCCCTTCTGTACAATGGCAAGGCCCGATTTGATCATTGGGAGTACGCACAGATACTAGCACTTGATTCGTGGAAATGTGCACTATATGTCTAAAGAGCAGTGCACAAATTCCACTGGTGGAGAACAACAAAACATCGACATTTTTAGATCCAGAATTAAAGCTAAAAGATTATTCCCAGCAGGAAGAGTAAACTTGAACACTTTTTAGTTCCCCAATTGCCCAGCATATTGCCAGAAAATCTCTGAGACAGAGCATGCAGCAATAATTTCCCTTTCAGTATGTGACAACATTTAATACATCACCTGGAGAACAAACTACAAGAAATTCTGTATAATTTTAAACCTGGTGATGTCTACCCATATGTGAGCTAAGTACTCCACGATACCAATACCTTTACAGGGAGATACACATATGTTCTGGGCTAAAGAAAATTCCATACTTTTCAACCTAGTTTCTGAATAACAATATTTTCTTCTCTCAAGACTGTTAACCATCTCAAGAAAGATGGAAGTAGAATGAGATGACTTAGAGGTACAGACAGGTATCTATACACCTACAGCCTTGAGGTGAGAAGGTAAGAACTTTTAAAGAAAAAACCCGCATTACTGAACACACGGAATATTCTGCTTTGCTTAATCTTTGTAAAATTCTGCCCTTCCACAATTTAAGATCATCTAGGATTGTAGTTTTGTAAGGCAGATACTCAGGAGTTCCATCTACAATGACTTTTTTTTATTTAACGGAACTTTAGCTCCTACCAGCATAGCATCTGTTTTGAATACACAAGCACCAACTCATCTACATTCTTTTCATTGAGCAGGTAAAAAAGTGTGGGTTTTTTTTTTCCTGCCTTTTCTTATTTCATTCTCCCTGTCATAGCAAAGATTGATTTACTCCTGCAGATCAAGTTGCAGTGGTTGAAGAAATTACTGAAGCCGGTAATTGTCTTCACCAGTTAGTTTCTGCCTTTCAGCAGCATCACTTTCAGAGTAATTTAAATTAAAACATTTGACTTTGCAGTGAAACAGATCAGGAACAATTAATATTGCTATTCCATTTAAACTCTGCAACCTGCTTTTGACTTGGAGTAAGCAACAGATAAAGAACATTCCAGCTACATCTGCCAGGTGCATCTTTCCATGTCAGCATTATTTAACTGTAAAGCATTTTCTGGCTTTATGATTATACAAAAGGAGCAACACGAAATAAAAAACCAATTCCTGCAAGTCTTCACTTATGAAAAAAGGCATTGCTCACTGGAGTAATTCAATTAACCTGAATGAGATTGCTGACAGGGGCAAGAACTGGAAATGCAGTTGAGGTGGCAGAGTTACTGCATTACCTGTGATATTTTAGTTCTTCACTGGCTTACTTGCAGTACTCCAGTAAATAGCACAACACAACACTGAGCAGGCATTCAGGAGTGAAGATAAAGTGTACCAGGAACAGCCATTTTATAAATCCATTATAATATTAAACTCTAAGTATGTAAATAAGGAAGTCATCAGCAGATACTGATTATCATTAATAGTAACATGATGGTAGCAGCATGAGTTTAATGAAAGAAATGTGGTGATATTGTACAACTGTATTAGTTTGACTGTTATAAAATTATTTATTAATTGTCTTATATTTCTGTAATTAAATCCCCAGCAATTGTCACCCCACTAAAATAATTGCTCATGTACATTCAATGTGCAGATAGCTCTTACTTCAGGGAAGTACATATCTGTATCCACTAGCATTAAAATGAACATATTTACATTGTTTCCATGCAAGACACTGATGAAAAGGTACAGGTTACAACGAAGAGCTGATATTTAGACGTTCCCCTCAAAACCCAGTTTCAGAATCACAGCCTGTTCTGTGCATACACACTGGAAAGCACCATTCTGCCACTTTTTCTTCTCTGTTAGAAGCTAAACTAAAAAACAACGAAAGGGGAACAAAGCTTCACATCTTGATGTTTACAGACTAATATTTTAAACTTACAGTTCATTTCTGAGAGGAGGAAATGAAAAAAAAAGAAAAACAACATGACCATAAATATAAACCAAATTTCAGTGCCTATTGCAAATTCCTCTGTGACAATATTGATGTAAGAATAACATATAAATTACACTCTTATAAAAATATTGTATAGTCATGTACATACAATCTCCTAATAAATAATGTGACACCATAAAAAAATCTTTTGAACAAGATTATTTATGCTACACTGCTCCTCTTCCTCTAGTTTTAAAGATACAGGGAATTTTAGTCACACTCAAAAGTTTGTGGTTTATCAAGTGTACAAAGCAATTTAAGGATGAGTACACAAATCAAAGAGTCTACAGAGTTTATTAAAAACTTTCCTAAATAAATTCTGAAAGTTATGACTGTACCACAAGATAGCTTATATTAAAAATAACTGATAAGAATTCCTATAACCCCAGTTAGAAGTGCAGTGGAGTTTCTAGGGATTATAAAATAACAACAGCAGGACTCAAAGTCGTCTGCCAGGAAAACTGCAGGGTGGAACTTCCTAGCATTACATTAGTAGGCACATTTTTATTTACTTTTTTTTTAAAATGCAACAAAATTTGCATCTTTCTATTAAAACTATTTTTGTGTCATATTGAAGAAAATACATTAAAAGTTGGGAATAATAGAACACCACTATGATAAGCCATGCTAGACAAACGCTAACATGACATTGTACTCTCATGCCTTCACTGCTCTAGACTCTTCTGAAATACTGAAGGGTACAAACACTTAAAAGGTAGTGTCATGAATTTCAACATAAAACTTTTTTCTCAAAGTAGAAAAAAGCCCACAATGACTTACAATTCTTGAACTTCTGTAGAAGACACTATTTTTAAATGGTCTTTCCTTGTCTTTTTAAACAATTCTAGGAACAGTTCTGAACATGTTCTAGAGCTTAGACCTTTAAGGAGAAAAAAAACCAACATGACTCAAGTTTTCTGCTTAGATACACAGTGGAACAGGGAAAGTGTTGTTCTTAAAGCAGCCTATTTATATAGTCATAGCTGTATGTTGCCTGTCATTTGTGCCACAGCACTGATAGGAATACTATGGCAACAGCAATGCAAAGGAAAAGAGCATGAGGCACTTTCTAGCAACCAAACATCATCCTGAAAGACATTTACAAAATGAGAGTATTTCTAATAACATACACTGTTTCACGTCTCTCATGTTTATCTACGCAGCATAAATACACATACCACAAAATGGGAAAACAATATCAATACAAATCCACCAGGAAAGGCTAAAGAAACTGCAAAGGGAAATTGCAGAGCCAGACAAAACAGGACATCAAGAGGAATTGTCAGAAGAACATGTGAATGGTAACAGGTCGTGAAGACAGTAAAGAGATGGAGTAAGACACACAGACAAGACAAAAATCCAAAACAGAAAAAAAAGGAAGGAACTGGGCAGAAAGGCAGCCACGATGCAGTGTGTGGAAACAGGCTGGAGTAGAGAGGCAAAAAACAAACCAACCAACCCACAACATATCAAGGAAGACTAAATAGAGTAGTCCATCTCTAAAGGACATTTCATCAGCTCCAGCACTCACTAACACTTTTAAGTCACTTAAAAAAAAAAAAGGAACAAATAAAATTGTTTAACAGAAGGTGACATTAAGCCTGCCAAGCCATTTTCCCAGCTTTCAAAAAAAAGTATTGATGTCTGTAGTGCTGACTTCTATAACTAGTAAGGCAAATGGCCCAGATGGACAAGATGGAGGGTAAGAGGCAGGGAAAAAAAAACTTGAGATTTGCTATGTTGCACCTGAGTATCTGCATTTAAATGCACCTGCTTTTTTGTCCAATATACTACATATTAATGGCATAATTTAAATATTGTCATGGTTCATCATCATCTTCATTTAGCAGCTGTCAAATCATACCTTGAAAAGTAGACAACATAAAAAATTTAACTGCTTAACGGAGTATGATATGAAGGTAGAACCTAAATCTGTTCCATATGCACAAGGCTCTATCTGGTCCCACTTGAGTCACAATTCCTGTAGCTTGTTACAGGACTCAACTGCTACTGTTCCTTCAGAAGAACACAGCAAAGTAGTACATGCAGCAGAGTTCTGGTGTCCAGATGAAAAAACAACACTGTTTCTTGATACCCGAGTTCAGATTTGGTTAGAAATTAGTAAACTGTGGTCATATTTTGTAACTGCTATATCAAGTTTGATGAAAAAACTATTTCAAAAATGTATGAATATTGCATTGAAGTCCAAAACGACATCAATATCCAAATACTGAAATCCTAACAGAGAAGAAATCCTGAAAACGTCACTCTTATTCTTACATTCATATT